TATATATATATATATAATGATTAAGCTATTTATCTTTTTTTTATAAATTTTTGCCTCATTATAAAATATATGTGGGAAGAATGGTTGAAAATATCTAAATATCTGGCCAAATCTAGAAAATAATTTTGTTGAGTCAGCAAAATATTTATAAGATAAAAATATGATTGATAATTATATGAAAACTTTTGATATTCTAGATATTAATTTAAAGCATATATAATTTTGATAGTTCGACAAAATTATTTTCAGATTTGTATTCAGTCAAATTTTTATATACTTTACCAAAGCCATAATTTTTGCAAATTTTTCTATACTTTACCAAAGCCATTCTTTTTTATTTCCTAATTTTTTGTGTTATATTGTTCTCCGAAACTTTACATTACTCAATTGAAATTAATAAAATTAAAATTTCAACAAAGTTAAATTAAACATTTTTTTTACAATGTTTTTTACAAAAAGAGAAACATCCGGTTAAATTTGGTTTTAAAGAAATAAAGAAACCATTAATTGTAATTATATCATTAATTATAATTTGACGATAAATTGATTTATTAAAAATATTATATATATTGGGATATCAACATTGTAAATTTAATAGAATTTTCGATCGAAAAAAAAATTCACAAGAATCGAACGTACGCAAAACTTTGTATGCTATAATGATATATATTATCGTATCGTACCCGCATACCGATGGTACTCATCGCATTAATTAACTCTGATCCGAACGTTTGCTCTACGTACGATGAAAAAGACTGGCAGAATGAAAAAAAGACCACGTGCCTTCTTTAAGTAAATCGCGGGGAATGATGGTTGCGCGAAGGAAGATTAACGAGCGTAGTGTGTCGTTCGATTCGATACGTCGAATTAACGCGGGACGGAAACGAAGCTCCGCGTATCGGTTATTAATGACTCGAAGTCTACCAATGTAAATGTTAGCGATGCCATTCGTACTTGCGTCGCTTTGAATCGCTTAGAGACGACGAGTCCGTACCGTGAATACCTCGACGTATAACGTCGTGAATTGAACGATAATAGTAGAAACGACGATTAATTAGCTGTAATTGAGTGTAGTCGCGACAACGGCAATGTAAACGCGCGCTGTTAACACATTACACACGCGGCACACAAAAGATCACCGTCGAAGGAATCGTTCCGCACTTTTCGTCGAGCCACACGGTGGTAGCATCCCATTTTGAATACGTTTAACGATTTACGCAGCGAACTCGTTTTCAGGAAACTAAATCGTTATTGCCCGTCTCCGCGGAGGCTAAAACGAATTCCAGTCGTGCTCGTTGCGCGTATACACGCGTACGTGGAGGGCGTGGGGATGAAAAAAAATCAACCGCCGCCCTCCGTTCTCTGAGTGGCAGCTTCGCTAATACATACCCTTGCGTCTCACCGCGTTTGCCTTCTCTTCTGCAAGCAATATCGCCTTGGTTACGTCGATGTTCCGAGATAGAACGAGACAGAAACGGTGGAGTCGCCGGTTAACGATGATAGTCGACGGTTGTAGCAGATAGGGAGACAGAGGAAGAAAAAGGAGAGTGAGGGAATGAGAGATGGAGAGAGAAAGGGAGACGGAATGTGGGGCCTATAATGTCGAGGGAGGATCTGGCTATCATGCCAATCTTCTTGTTCCATGAATTTTCACAAATAGTGATTCTAGACTTCTTTTTAAGTACATTGATAAAAAGGATAGAAAATAAAATATTACATAAACTATTTGTTAAATTTTCAATAAATCAAATTGAAGTGCGAATAACAATTTAGCTTCCTAAAAAAATGAGTTTGTTGCTTAATCGTTAAATGTATTCAAAATAGGATACTACTATCACGTGGTTATTAATCTTTCATAAACATCAATGCATCTTCATTTCATCAATGCAATAAGTAACCTGACACTAATATTAGCTTCAAGAGTGCGATTATAAAAATATTTTATTAGTTTAATAATTGTTCCTTTCCTTCAACAAGCTAAGATGATGATATTGCCAAAAGTTTTGATATTTTAGCTCAAACATTGTTTAAATAAAATGAATCGGTACTCAATATTGCAAGCAATTAATACAATTGTCCGGTTATCAATATTATTTCAATTTTCTTAGGAAAAATATTTTTGAAATGTTATCGAAAGTTTTTCTGTCGAAACAATTGTTAACGTGACATCAGTGCAACATTAATGCTATCATGTAAGTGTTATCGTCCATCTGAGGCATGCGTTTCTCGCGTGTCTTTTGTTTTGTACGTGTGAACGCATGTTCAGTCGAGCATTAAAAGTTGCATAATTTTGAGAAGGTCATTACACAGTATATGTATTTTATAGGAGAGATCATCATTTTGATCACTATTATTCATATTCTGTTTAAAAAATCTGTCATTTTTTTAATTATGTAATTTACATATTATATCTACTAACATTGCATTTTAATTGAAAAACAAAGCAAAATTTAATATAATTGAATATTTTCATAATTTTTATGTATTGCTATTGTGCTCATTCCAATTGGAATAAAATTTAATGTTTAGTATATTTCATAAAGTATACTATAAAAAAATTTAGCGGAGAAAAAAATTGAATAACAAAATCATTTGCATTTTGCGAAAATTACAAAACAATCCACATTTGTTTACAACACTTTAATGATATGTATCATCGTAATCATCATATATTTATTTCAAAAATAAAAATAACGTATTGCGTGTGAAAATTTTCTATGTATTGTAAAGTTTCATAATTTTTAAATTTCTGAGAAGGTTTATAGGTCTTCCTCTGTTAATATTACAGATTATTATTTGTTAATATTTATCATACTTATAGAATTACAAATATTATGGATGTTGTTATGGATGTTGTTATGTATAATGTATTATGTATTTTTAATCAGTTGCAGTTTAGTATTTTGCAGTACGGATCCTATTGTGGCGAAAAAGAAGAGTTGATGTTAATAGGGGAAAGTAGGAGGCAATGGAAGTAGAACGAGGGGATGGAAAAGCAATGGTCCGATCCCTACAGATAATAGCACGCAAGTTCCGACATCGTTAATCTTGCAGTTCATGTACATAGATGTATATACGTGTCGGATATACATGTATATATACGAGCATTCGTTGTTAGGTGTACATCACGAAGCCACACCCCTGGCGTAAGATCGTGACCAAGACGGTGGTTACAATCTCCTTCCCAACAATGTTCGCCTATCATTCATACTTGCAGCAAGAGTGCAAAAATCATATTCGGAAAATTATGTGTACATCACAAAGCCACACCTCTGACGTGATCATAACGATGGAAACTAGACCGTTGGGAAAAAGATCGTAAGCACAATGGTGATATATATATATATATATATATATATATATATATAGT